CAGCTACTAGTATCACTGTCCCGCAGCTGGTTCTGTTGCTTTCCAAATACTTGGTGTTTGGTCCTTAACCGTCTGGCACAGGGAACATGATGGCCGCACTACAGGCGGCTCTGAAGAACCCTCCTATCAACACAAAGAACCAGGCAGTAAAGGTGAAATAATAAGTAACTCATTCATGCGTTACTCCTTAAAAATCCTTTCCTCTTTCTGTAACCCCTGCCCCACCAACGCTGCCAGGTGTGCTTTAAGGAAGCCAAAGAAGCTGGTTTAGGGTGTTCTGTGATGTCAAAATGTCTATGACCTGTGCTGTGTTGTTTTAATTTTCTTGAAAATACCGTAGCTCAGATGTAATCTGTCTGTGTACCTTTAACATGGTGCTAGCTCAGGTTTTGTGTGTTCCCCTTCCTGCATTGGTTGTATATTGGGTGCCCTGGCTAACTCCACACATCACCAGGTGCCCATGTCTGGTCCAGACCTGGCAGCACATACATGTAGTCTGTACTGAACCATCAAGGAACCACAACCGTAGTAGTCACCTCTGACTAATGAAACTCTGCTAGCACAGCCAGACCGTGAACATACAAAAAAGGAAGAACTGATGGTTATTGCATCCAATCAAAATTAAGCCGTTAAAACCTCAGAAAACGCAAGCACTCCCCCTGTGACAGAATACAGGAGCCTGCTGTGTGCATGTATTTCTGAATCTCCCCAGAATAAACCTTGAATGGCTCATGATTGCAGCAGCGAGAGGAAGAGGCAGATAAGAGGTGGAACTGCCCAGATGGCGAGCGCCTGCAGAGGTCTGTTCTCCCTGTTTGAGGAGAGTCCCATGGGCACATTTCCGTGCTGCTCTGGCACCAGGTTGTCCTCAGCAGGCCACGGGTGGAGATTTTTTTCAGCTAGCCCCCACCCTTTCCTGACAGGTTTCACAGGGTTTTGAGAACCAGCTGTTTGTTACAGATAGCGCTGTATAAGGGATTGAACAGCTTTGTCCTCACATTAATGACTTGTTTCCGTGAGCTCCGTATCAATGGATTTAAGAATACACTGTGAAGGCACTGGAATTGAAGAGGGCAGAGTGACTGAATTTTAATGTTTGGCTTCGTTTTTAGTTGATCTCATGGAACTTTTATGTTTTTATTTATAGTTCTTGATGTGAGAAGGCCTGATAAGCCAAGCGGCTATGGGATATTAAATTGAACAAAAAAACTAACATCCATAATTTCTGAAGAAGGAAGCTGCTTGAAGTATTTGTGTAATGGAATTATTCAAAAGTCCAACAAACCCAAGACTGTTTCCTTTCATCCTCCCTCAGTTAGTGATGGATGAACAGGAAGAGCTGCTTTTTGCTGATTTCATGGCTAATCTGCCGGTGTAATCATGCCACACACATTCCTGGGCCTGAAACAACATCCAGATGAACTTGCAAATGGTTATTAATGCAAAATATTAGGGCTGCCAGTTTGCATCCTGTGTGCCTGGGACACAAGTTGACTTTTTTGAAAATGTGTGGCTTCCAGCAGTCACCTTTTCCAGTCTGGCCAATGACATTTCCATGGAGTATAATAGCTGTATCTCATTAAACAGTACAAAGGCATGGAAAAGGCTCTAGTGGCAAGGGAAGCCAGACAAGTACTTAATTCTTACAGTTCTTTTTGAACTTGCCAGACCTTGAGATACAAAAATGGATTATTTACCTGTAACCTTATTTAATAGGTGGAGAATTGCAAACATAAGCAGAGAGGCAGAAAACCTAGAGCGGGACAAATGCGTTGAACTCTTTTACGCTGTTTGTCATTGGGAGGACGTATCTGTTACACATTATCATCACAAGATTTGTGCACAAACAGCCCTATTCAAACAATTGTTTAAAAAAATTCTAGTTTTGTTTGTTGGGGAGATGAGTA